AAAAAAAAAATTTATTTTTAGATCGTACAAAACTCAATAAAATGTTTTTAATGATAAAATTAAAAAAAAAATAAAAATAAAAAATAAAAAATAAAAATAAAAAAAATTAAAAAAAAATAAAAATAAAAATAAAATTTCGTTAAAAAAAAAAAAAAATGATTAAATTATTTCATACATTCTTCCCAATTAACATCATTTACAGGAAATGATTGAAGTTCAAATTCATCCTTAATTTTATCATTAATTTCATCTATTAAATCTTTATCAAATAAACCATGAACAGGTTTAAAATAATTATCAAATCCTTGATCTAAATAATTAATTTTTGTTTTCAAAAAATCATAATGACTTGAATCATACATTTTAATTGAAATATCTGAATTATAATTAAATGTTGTAACACTTCCACGATTTTTTGATGATGAAATCGTTACTACCGGAGTTGGTAATTTAATAATTTCTTCGATTTTGTCATTATATTTTAAATTTGAAATTGTTCTATTAGTATCATCGTTATTATTATTATTGTTATTATTATCTTCGTTGAATATATAAATTTTTCTTGTACAAGAAAACGAAAATTTTTTAGCATAATTTGTCCTTTTAAATATAATAAATAAAATAACTAAAAATACCAATGAAGCACTTGTAATTCCAACAACAACTGGCATACTTGATGTTGATTCGGTTGATGTCGATGATGATGAATTGTTTGAAGATGATAACGACGATGACGACAATGATAACGATGATGATAATGATGATGACGACGACGATGATAACAATGATGATGATGAAAGAAGAAATTTTGAAGTGATAAATGATCTTTTGAATAAAATAGGGCTCTGCCCATATTCATTTTTCAATAATTTTGAATTATAACATTTACTTTCCATCAAGTTCATCTTACAAATAATATTATCATCCCTTTTATATTTTTTTGAAATAAAATATTTTCGTTTTTGTTGAAGGAATCTATTTATAAAATTTATTTTATTATTCCCGGTACGAAGATATTTACGATATTTTATTTCATTCCTTTTATTATAAAAGTTATAACTTGCATGATATTTCTTATAAAATTCTCTTCTGTTAATAAGAATCATTATTACTAGGTTAAAAATTTTGAAAGATTTATATTTTTCATGAGAAAAAAGAAAAAAAAAATAAGGATTTTAAATTTATAAAAAAAAAAAAAATTATTATTATTATTTTTTATTTTTCACACATAATATAATAAGATATAACTTATTATATTTAATTTTGTTTTTTACCAAATTAAACCGCAAATCTCGTGTAAAATAATATAATAAAATTAAAACATGTGAATGCTTTCTTAATAACAAATATTGTGATAGGTTTTTTTTTTTTAAAAAAAAAAAACAAATAGGACAAATTTGATTGACATCGATCAAATGAATGAATGCACTCCGTATCTTACACCCCCAATGCCACAAACAAACATTTGTTTGTTTCAATAATAAAAACATTAAAATAACCAATACAATAGTTAAAATTTGTTTGTAAACGTGTAAAAGTTATTTAATGATAAGCCCCTTCACCAATAATCATGTATCAATGTGATACACTCATTCATACACATGATTAAACTTTAAAAATTCCATGGAATTCTGGGGTCTGATTTCGGGTTACATTCCGATGATGATAAATAAACAACGTTAGAGTTTTTATCATACGATTTAGCGATTTTAATTGAAAGTAAATCCGACAATCAATAAATAAATATCTTGCAATCCTTCTCGATAGGGACGAAGGAATAACTAATAAAACTTTATTAATTTTAACCGATAATATATTATATTTATATATTTATATACATAATTTTAAAGTAAACTATTAACAGATAGTATTTATGGTTTAAACTATAAATCTGGTTGAAACCCTGAATTTTTTTTAGTTGATATTTCTACGTGAGAATCTACGTTTAAGTTTAATTTTGGAGTTATCATTAGGACAAGTAAAGTAATTATTAAAATGATCCCAAGATCCAAAGATATTCTTTACAATATAATCAGGCAATGGATGATTTACTGGCCAATATTTGTATGTTTTAGCCATCTTCTGTTGACACTCGCCACATGAAATTAATTCTCTAGGAATTTCAATACGAGTTCCATCTTCCTTATAAACGTATTTGTGATCATATGAAGGTCGGAATTTTCCCTCAGGAATTTTCTCTTTAAGCCATTTAATAAACGGTTTGGTTGTTTCAATACCGCACAATTCTAAAAAATTGATTTAAATAAATTTAATGAAATATTTCTCAATTATTTTTTGAACCTTATGGTTATAACTTACCTCCATTTGAGGTCTTGAGACACATAAAATCATGATCAGGAATACCAAAATAATAGAATATAACGGTGGCGTAAGCACCAGTAACAGTACGATCAAGAGTTGAAGGATCTGCGCTCCAATCTACTTTGGTTGTTAATTCGTTAGGACATTTCTCCTCAACTTTTTTCCATAATGATTCGGCTTCATCATAATTGCAAGAGAATTTTTCATCACAAGTCTCTTTTACGGCTTCATAATAAGGAGTAACGTTGTAAGGAACAAGGTGATTATGTTCAGCTGCATTACCATAATCTTCAATAATATTCATAATAAGTCGGATAAAAAAACCACATGACGATGGATTTGACCAAGAATCCCAAAGTTCTTTTTGACATTCGTTGCATGTGGAAACATTAAAATAATCTTTACATTCTTTTTTTGGTGTATCACCTTCGGTATTAATACCGACAATTAATAATGAAAATAATATGACGAATATAATACAAATTTTATAAGTTTTCATTTTGTAATATTAATGATATCGGTATAGGTCAAAGAATGAAAAATTTTTTTTTTTCTTGAAAGAAAAATTTTTTGTGATGATCTAATAAAATTGGTAGGGTTTTTATATTTAACTTACGGAATAAAGGAATAAAATGACTCCCATTTAATATACATGATTGGTCATAATTATGTAGGAATTACGCGTAACGGAATGGAAAGTTCAATCATTGAATCATTGAATCAGCAGACCCACATTTACATTTCGATTGTTTGTTAAAAAAAGTGTTTCGATTATCAAAAATATTCACACGATGATTGTTTTAAAAAAATCGGATCGGAATTATTTGTACTTCGCTTTAGATTTTTCTAAAAATGAGTCACATTGTTTAACTAACTCTTTTTTGTTAAAATAATGAAAATTGTGCCATGCATTACAAGAACTATTGCGCAATTATTATAAAGATAATTTATTCCTTCATCAACTATGTTTGCCCCAAATCCGAAAAGTCCGCTAGTTAATCATTATGATGTCATATGCTGCGGCAGTATTAAGATATTGGTTAGTAAGTTATCTAATTATAACTTTGGCAATGATTTTAGTGTGGGAAATGGGAAATGTTATGATTGTGCCATAAGGCGAACTTTAGATAAACAAACATCAGCTGTATTATGAAAAAGTCTTCCCCTACAATACCCTGAACGTGTCACATAAATACTATGAGTTACTTACCTACAACAGTAAATAGAACGCGTTAAAAGATTAACAACTTCTAAATTACTTCGATTTTCATGACAGTAAATTATATTAAGCAATACATTTAATAATGTCCTGTAGATCTTAAAGTAATATAACTTGTTTGTTATTATTAAATTCCGAATCCCTTGAAAAGAATATTCGCTCCATTATGGTAATTTTGTGAACCAATAAAGTTGAACAATGAATTTCATGAATCACGATACCCTTGTTGAATTATGTTCTAATTCATGAAAATTATATAAAAGAATCCTCATAATTTCATTTGTGATAAATCGTGAATTAATATGAATAAGTTGTTGAATTTCTTCTTTAAATTCTCTATTTAACATTACTCTCTTTCTTTCGATCAAGATATCCAATAACGACAATAACGTAACATTAATTTTTAAGAATTATTGAAATTTGATACACACTTGCCACAAAATTTGGGTATTTAAATAATATGTGTTAACAATCCAAATTTGGGAAGGAATGAATATGAATAACGATCATTTGTAAACATCGTATGTATGTAAAAATATAAGCCACAATTTAAAAAGGAAAGAAACTAGTTTGTATAGACCATTATCTAGAACTTTATATATACATGTATGTATATATACGAATAATTTAACGAAAAAAGGCTGTTTCCGATATGTGATATACGGGAAGTCGGTAGTTTATTATTTTTTTTTAAGCAAAGTTTATGGCAATCTTTTCTCAATTTTTGGGGTGTTTTTTGCGAACCAGCTTACATGAATTAAGGAATTAAGGAAAAAATATAATTCCCTAGAAAAATAAAATTTCAATGTAAATTCAAATAAAAAGAATCAAATAAATTTATATAAATCCCAAATGTGGGGATTTGGTTATTGTCATATTTAATTGTTTGAAGCTTTTAATTTTTAAACGAAATATTCGTTAAAAAAATAAATGTATATAATAAATTTTATTCGAATTTTCGAAAAATATCAATTACTGCGGTAACACGTATCTTGGCAAAATCATTACGTGCGGATAAGAAAAGAAGTAGGCTGAAACAAATGAAACGAAGGATTAAATTTTGAAACAAATGATTTTTATTAAATTTACAGACTTTTATATTTGCAATAAACAAATTATGACGTATAAATAGTAAAGTGGGTCGAGGTTTTGAAAGTTCCTTAAATGTTGTGTGACATTTTATATTTTTGAAAATTATTTATATATTATATGTTAATAATCTATTTTGTGATCTCATCTTGAACCAATCCCTTTATCACTATTTTATACCGAATAAAGTAAGAGTATTTTATTGTGTAACTTTCTTTTTGAGTATTATTCAAGTGTTTCGCGCTCTTTTTAATATATATAAGATCCTCTTACCTTTTTATTTTTTTTTTTTTTGTAAGAAAACTTTTACATACAGCGATTTACAGTAAATCAAATAAATTTATCATCATTCTTAAAAATAAACTATAATAAATATGTCTAGAGATTTCAAAACTTATAGAAAATCTTTAAGTGTCGATATATTGTTCCCACCTCCTTTAGCGATTACAAAAGATAAGCAATTGAGCGCTAAAATTAAATTACGACCTTATAATTTTATTTTAAAATCAATAAGGGGGAAAAACCTTTTAGGTAAATTTAATTTTTGATGTAAATGATTTTATTGTATATATATATATATAATATATATATATATATATTGTATATATATATATATTGTATATATTATATATATATATTTTAAAAAAAAAAATTATTAAAAAAAAAATTTTTTCTCTTTAAAAGTGTTGGGAGCGACGGGGGATCTAGGATTTCAAGTTATGTCTCAAGCGCTTGAAGCTTCATATCATGTGACAATTTTAATTCGTAATGATAAAAATCTTCCATTTGAAAGTCATCATTTACGAAATCCAAATCTTGTAATAATTACTGGATCAGTTTTATCAAGAGAAGATATGAATAAAGCAGTTGAAGGACAGGATGCAATAATAAATTGTCTTGGACCGCGTGCATTATGGACAAGTGATATTGATATATGTTCAAGATCACAAAGAATTATAATAGAATCAATGAAATTTTATGGTGTAAAAAGGATAATTGTTGTAACATCTCAAGGTATTAGTGGGAATGATAAACAAGTTGGAAGAATACAAAGTTTTTTCGGATTTAATTTTACGGGTAAAGTTATATCCGATAAAGAACTACAAGAACGGTATATTAAAGAAAATTCGGATTTTCTTGATTGGACTATAATAAGACCTGGTAAATTATATAATGGTGAATTAACAGGTCATTATAAATTAAATGAAAATTTTGCTTTGATGAAAATTTCTAGAGCTAATGTTGCTCATTTTATACTTAAAGAATTACAAACTGGTATTTGGTTAAAAAGAACTCCAACTATTAACGGTTATTAGTTAATAATAACAGGTCATGTGATATTAAATGTATTTTGTTAGGGCCGGAACAATTAAAGGTTGTTTAATAAAATATGACTATTACACATGTTAAATAATCCTTTTTAATTGGGCATTGGGATAGTCTTAATGAAACTTATATGTATTTATTGATCTGACTATAAGAAATAAAAAATGTTTAAATTGAAGATTAAGACTATCATTACTATAATCGCATTGTTTTTTGTGATTGTCACATGATTTTACAATAATGCATGTTTTAGCCGCGGAATTAGACACGGACCGTATAATATTTCCCGATGTCTTAATAAAAAATCAAGTCATTATTAGATATATAAAGTAATTTATCTTAGTATAGCAGAAATGTGTGATTTGTCATAATTTCATTGCGGAAAAAAGTGATATTATTTTACCATAACGGGAAATCCGACCCGGAATTTGAAAGTGGCTTTGGAATGCGAAATAATAATAATTGACGTGGTCTAGATCTTTCTAATAAGTTATTATTACTTTCTTGTATTTTATATATTTACTTTAATAAGGTAAGTATGCCGGCTCATTCAACAATTATTACTAGCAGCATTTTACATATTCACATTGCATCATTTGCATTGAGTTACGTATACATGTGATATGGTTCCGGATAAATCCTTTTTTTTTTGTTTGTTTTAGAGTCTAGATCATTCTAACGTGATTTCACAGTTTAAGATCTTTTTTTTTTATAATGGCCATGGCTTTGACTTTTTTTATTCCTGATATTTCTGATATTTTTGATATTCCTATTAAATTAGCCTAAAATTTTCTTTTTCTTTTTTTTTTCTTTTTTTTTTTTTATTATTTTTTCCCAAGCTCTAAATTTATCATATATTTTATAGTTATTATTTGAGTAGGTTATTTCAATAAATAATTCTATTTATAATATTACACGTATTACTCTTTTATTCNAAAAAAAAAAAAAAAAATTATTCATAAATGTCAAATTCACAATCAATGAATAAATCTACAAAAAAAGAAGCTATAGAAGAAGAAAGAAAATTTTCTTCTACAGATTCAAATCGTGGTTATATAGTAGCAAATGCTGTTAAAGAAGCTTGTCGTATCGCTTTAGAACAAAATCGTCAAGATTGGGATGCCGCTTGTAAATTTATTTTACAAAACAAATCTCTTACGGATAATGAAAGGAGTTCTATTATTAATCTTTTAGTAAAAGATAATGATAATATGTCAAAAAAAAATATAATTACTGAACAATAATGATTATTATATTATCTTTTTTTTTTAAATAATATGTAAAATTTTTTTTTTAGAGTATAGAAAAATGTCAATCTTTTGTATATACAGTATATTACGGACTTTTCTCTCAGAGAAAAAAAAAAAAAACTTTAAACCTTGTCTCAAACCTTGTCTCAAAACCTTGTCTCAACCTTGTCTTAACTTGTCTTACAACCCCTGTTATCGTGTTACAGTAACTTTCAAGAAAAAAATGCATTATCTTTTAGGAAAAAAATTAAAATTATCTTATTATCACCTGTTATTGAAAATTATTATTTTATTTTATTTTTTTTCGGGATTTTTTTAGGTTAATTATGGTATAGCAGATTTTTAAATAAAATAAATTTCAGATATTCATAATAATAAAAAGCAATGTTTAATGTTATATCAGCAGGAACACAAACCAGGAATTTCTATATTAGGATTCACTTTCTTTAAATTACTATTGTTAAATTGAACGAATAAACGTTTGCTGACAAACATTCAGGTTTAAACTTGGACCAAGTCATATGGTTTGAATCGGTGTAGATAGACCGATAATAACGATAATATTTTTATATGTAAATCAGATCAAGATAGGAATTCTACTAACAGAAAAGGAAATAAACAGGGGCAATATATAGGTGAAATAAGAAGTATCATTAATGAATTTAGTTGTATATTTGATGATAATAACAATATGAAATATAATACATATGGTGGTGATGACTGATGAGGATTGATATCTTTCAAAGCGACATCGTACTATAAAGAATAAATAAATATGCAATCTATTATTATTCTATTTGTTTCCAAAAGTAGTTTTACTTCATAATGGAATTCTAGAATATATAAAAAGAAGTTCTTCCAGAAAACCAGAAGAAAAATATTAATTACTAAAGTTGACAGAATAATTTTCTTCTTGCTCTTTAAAAATAATTATATTTTGTCAGTCATTTATATTGTTGGTCATTATAACTAATGCAGACAAATGTCCGATTCGATTATTACCCCGCATAATTGCATAATTGATGGGTGTGGTATATCATGACTTCTTTTGTTCCTCAACCTAGCACGTGACATATAATGACAAATAGGATTATTGCCAATTATTATAATTATTATCTATGACGCATCCATTCAATCATGCATGTGACTTATGAATTTGAACGAAAATAACGTAGACGACCGTAGACGTCATTTATGAAATCAGTAAGAATATTTTTAATAAATTCTTTCGTATCGATTTTCTTATATTAGTAATTTCTTGGCAGAAAATGTAATTTTAGCGTAATTTAGCAATTTTAATAAATTTACTCACAATTTTATGTAAATTTATTATTTACATCATCATTTTTAGTTTTTACCTAAAAGTTGAGAATAATTTACCACCTTCCAATAATAGTTTGATTCAATTTACAACCCTGTTTTGTTTATATAAACAACAGAATATAATATACGTATACATATAAAAGAGAGAAAACAAAGAAAAAATGTAAAAATTAATAAATTAATCCAAGAATTTGATGTTGTAATTTTGTAACGTTTCTCAATATTGTAATAAATAATATTATATTATAATTTTGGTAAGAGTGCCAAGATTTTATATCTAGGTAAAAAAATTATGAACCAACCCGACCTAATATATCCTTTGTATAACGGAAAAAAATTTTTTTTGTGAACCCGAACCAAAAAGATCAATATATCTTTTTTCTAACCAAAAAAAAAATTTTAATTAATTTAATTGTAAATTATGACATAAAAGGATAATCATAAATGATGAAATTATTTGTCATAAAAATATATAAAAAAATATGGATAATTTTTTTTTTTGCAAAAAAGATCGTATATATAAAGTAAAAAATCTCTCTATTTTTTTTTTAAAAAAAAACAATCGAAATTTCTTTTTTCTCCCCTTTCAACAATAGATAAAAAAAAAACGAAATGGTAAATTGTTTTTATTGGTTGATTTTGAAAAATTCAAATTAAACAATTGATATTAATATATATGATATTTCTTATTATTATTTAGGATGATGATTCTATTGAAGTTCCAAATTGTGTTGGAAGATTCCATAATAAAAAAGAAAAGTTTTCAAAACAAATGCGATCACAACATCGTCAATTTTTAGAAAAAGTTCGTATTAATTCATATCAAAAAATTATTCGAAAAAATATTTATGATTTAATTGAAGATTTAAATAATTCAACAAATCCCTCAAGTTTAAAAATTCTTAAATGTATGATTGAAGATCCAAGTATTCGACTTTCTGAAAATGAAATTTATGATTTATTAGAAGAATTGACTTATATTCAAGAACCTTATGAACAAGATAATCTAGTAGAATTTGAGACACGTATAATTGTTATATCATCCGTTCTTGAATACGTAATTTTTAATATTGAAATATTTCATTTAGGAGCTGGCTTCTATGAAGTAATTTCAAATCAATTGGAAGATTATGTATTATCTTATAGAAATTATTCATCCAACGTTTCTTGGGCAACTTCTCTTAATTATTACATTCCAAAAGAAGAAACCATTCACAAATATAATTTAGAATTTTTATTAGAATATATATTTAATATTTTAAAAATCTTGCGTGATAATGAATTACAATTTCGAAAAGTTAACCTTCATGTTGATCATTTTTTAAAAGTTTTGGTGAAATCATTTGAATATTCTGGAAAGAAAGGTCCTTCATCTTTTCCATCTTTAAAACAATCTTGGGAAACTTTACATAATACTTGTGATTTTGGAGATTTGGTTTCTCCCTTCTTTACAGATTATTATCTTTTAAAGAAAATTAAATCGATTATTCAAAATTGGTCTTATGAAGGTGATAAAAGAATGATATCAAAATATGGGAAATGGTTATTAATGGAATTTATGTGGATGCATGCTGATAATATTTGGATTGAAGAAATAAAATGTGATCGTAAGAAATCTTGTAATGATGAAATACTTACTCAATATCAATTAAAGAGTATCATATTCTTATTTGGAATTTTGGATATGATTGAAAATTATATTATCGAAAGTGAGCATTTGCCAACTTTAGCACTTTCTTATTATTTTGCTAAAGAATTCTTACAAAAAACTAAGAGTGCTCCAATACAAATTAAATCCACAGTAATTTTACTTAAATTATATTTAAAAAATGGTAATACTTTTAAAATTATCGATCAAGATTTTGATCGTTACTTTCAAGATTTAAATAAGGATGATATAGAAGCTGTGTCACATTTCAAGTCATTTTTATCAGATATCAAACCAAAATTATATCAAGAATCTCTATCAAATTATGATAATACTATATTCGATAATTTTCGAGGAACAATCTTATTACCACATATGTCAAAAATCAATAGACATGATGAATTTTTAAATAAAAATTTAATTGAAATGATAGCTGATGAAATGACTTGTTCGGTTACACTGGAACCCTCAGAAAGTCTTTGTATTCTTGGATGTGAACATATAATTAGTTATGAAACATTTCTTAATTTATCAGTAATGTCAAAATATCGTTGTCCTCAATGTAGACAGAATATTAAAGATAATGAATGTATTTTTTTACCTCAACATAATATATTCTCTTATTTTTATATTCATTTTGTCTCATCTGAACTGGTTGGTACTCCTCCAATTCTTGCAATAAAATCAACTAGACCACATTATTTTTCTCCTTTACTTAGTTTTGGATCTTTAACAGCATCAACTTGTTTAGATCCTTATAATATCCAATCAGAATCTTTACCACATCAAAGATTAAATATTCAAAATGATTTATCCAAAATTCGATGGCCTTTGAAAGTATCAAAAAGATTGCATCCAGCTCATAATGAGGCAATAAAATCTCTAAATAATAAGAAATATGAAGAAACAGTTTTATGGCTCACCTGTTTATTACAACAATATCCAAATAGTTTTTCTACACGATGTGATCGTGCATTTATTAATTCTTTCTTATTACATAAACCTTATTTAGCACTTGAAGATTTAAATATCGCTTTAAGTTTAAAGACAAAAAGTCCACACGCTTTGAATTTACGTGCTGAAACCTTTCGAAGAATTGGTTATTATGATGATGCACTTTTGGATTTAAAAAAAGCTTTACAATTAACACCAAATAATGCTATATCATATGGAATTCGTGGTGCTTTATTTTATAAGATGAAAAGATTTAATGAATCACTTGATGATTTAAATTATTCTTTACAACAATTACCAAACAATGGATTTTGTCTTGGCTTTCTAGGAGCGACATTAGTAAAATTGGGATTTAATGATGATGCACTTTCTAAATTTAACAAAGCGTTAGAGATTAATCCTGATGATATCTTTATACTTAATAAACGAGCAAAACTTTATCATTCGCTTTGTTTAGATAATTCAGGGCTTATTGATATTAATAAAGCTCTAAGCATCAATCCATTTAATCACAAAGCACTTTCAATTCGTGGTGAAATACAAGCTGTATTTCTTGATAGTGATTCTGAATCATTATCTGATATCAACAAATCTTTAGAAATGGTACCAAACAATGTTAATGCATTAAAAATTCGGGCTAGATTTTATCATGAAATGGATCGTAATGAAGAAGCTCTTAATGATCTAGGTAAAGCATTAAATTTGGCACCAAATGATATTTCTATATTTGAATTAAGAGGTGAAATATATCGATCTATGTGTTGTTTCGAAGAAGCAATTGATGATTTTAATCAAATGTTACAACGTGATCCATGTAACATTTTTGCTTTATCTTATCGTGGTGCTACTAAATATGATCAGGTATATATAATATTTAATATATTTAATGATGTTACCCTTTACAATATTAATAACTGAATTTTTTATTAATTAATTTTTAATATTTTTTTTTAGGAATTATATGAAGAAGCATTAATTGATTTGAATAAAGCTTTGGAATTACGACAAGAAAATAATTTATTCTTATTAAAGATAAGAGCAAAGATATGTATTGCATTGAAAAGATATCATGAAGCATTAATGGATCAGAACAAAATATTAGATAATGAACCTAATAATAATACCGTTCTTTTAGAAAGAAGAGGGGTATATCAAAAATTAGGTCTTTATGATAAATCACATTCAAATTCGACACATCGTAATAGGATAACATTAAAACCCACTTATTCTTATTAATATGTTTATTTGTATTTAATAATATATAATATATTTAGATTTTATTTAAAATGTATGATAAATATTTTATTTATATATGTATAAAAATAATATTATGAAAAAAAAAGGAAATATTAAATATCAAAAAAAAAAAAAATAAAGTATATGTAATAATAAAACTTTTCTTTGTCAATACATTAAAGGGTTTAGTTTTTTTTTTAAAACTCCGATAAATGCTAAAAATAGGTAAATAAAAATCGATTAATAACCGAACAATAACATAAATGTGTAGATCTCACTAATTGAAGTAGTATTGAAAGTATGATTTCGTTATTTCAAACTGCGGGAGTCGTTTTTATTTCATTGAAGTGAATTTATTTCAATGAAAGATCAATGAAAGAAAAAAGGTTACATAAAGAAATGTACATATAAATATATATACAAATATATCATTTTTCCCTACAAATCCGGAAATTATAATTATATAAACCATAACGATAAGGATAAAGAATCTTGGCTAAAGAAACGTACATATATAAATATATCTTTTCTCCACCTTTTTTTTTTTTATAATTCACAATCAATCAAGTTATAACAATGTCAAACATTAACGAATTCTTAAACGAAACCATTGAAATTGGACAAAAATTAACTAATGCTAAATCGAATATTACAAAGATTCAAGAACTTCAAGCACAATTATTAGATAATCATATATCAACAATAAAAGAAGATTTGTTGAATAAAGAAAGAGAAAATTTCGTATCTAATACAAGAAATTTACTTGTAGAATGTAAAGATCATATTAAAAGAATTCAATATGAAAATGCTCGTATTCCTTCATCGGATCCTAATTTTGGTCAAAGACAACAAAGATATGAATATTTAAAAACAAAATTATCTAATGTATTAGAAGATTATAGTCAAGTTGAAAGTGATTTTATGAAAAAAACTAAAGATCGTATGACAGGACAATATAAAGTTGTGAAACCAAATGCAACTCAACAAGAAATTGATGATTATGTATCAAATTCATCAAATTCCGATTCTCAATCTATGATATCTCAACAAGCTTCATTAAATACAAATGAAATAAATGAAGCCCAAAAAGTCCTAGCAGAGGTACAAAAACGTCATGAATATATTAAAAATATTGAAAATACCGTCGCTGAACTTACTGCTTTATCTCGAGATTTACATCTTCATGATCAAACTGATCAAACTATTATCAATAATGAACAAAATGTACAAGATGCAGAAAATAATTTAGCTTGTGTTTTATTATGATGATGTGATCTTATTGAATTTAATATATTTAAAGTAATTTATACTATTTGCATACTAATATATCTAAAAAGTTTCCTGTAATCCTCATGTTTTCAATAAATTTAATATTAAAATTTTAATCATTTAAAAGGAGTTACTTCCTGATGTTTGGTTTGATGCTTCAGATCTTTCTAATTATACCCGAAGAGTACTTACTCGAAGAAACATATACATAAAAACAATTTACCTTCATCTCGTTCTAATGCGTGCTTTCAAAAGGAATTACTGTTTTGTAATTATTTCGTATGGTTCCTGAATTGTTTAGAATTGGTATTAACTTTATCACCTGAAGAATCCCGTTACGGCACGATTTCCCGAATATATATATATGACGGATGATTTTCCGACAAGACATTTGCCCGACGAGTTTGGCCAGAGGTATGCACTAACACGTGATCGAACGGCCAGCGTTGGTCGGGAAAATGTCCTGTCGGGAAACGGTCCGTAAGCGGAAGAATCCAGTGACATTTCGACCAGTTTGCCAGTAACCAATTGTCGGTTAAATTAACCAATTGCCGCTTATTTGCAAATCGAGGGGGAATTTTTTTTATGAGAGTGCCGATCTTTAGTTGAATTTACGTCATCCGGTGCTGATTTTGCCCCCTAGTATTTCACCGATTCTTGTGTTAATCACGAATTAATGAAACAAAAAAATTCCTAGAAATCTTTTTCAACTAATTTTTTCGGACGTAAAAAAGAAATAAAAAAGGAAAGTGGAATATGAATTTATTTTTATTATAATACAGAATAGAAATAAGGGGTAAGTGTAATATGATGATTTTCACAATTCAGTTTGGAATCCAACATTACATCATTTATACATTTTATTAAAATCAGCAATGATAATCGATAATATAATCATACTTTAATAAAATTGAATAGTAAATAAAAATTTTATTGTGAATTTTACTATACACTTCAAATTTCATTTACTAACAAAAAATAATTGTAATTTGCCCCTAGTATTTCACTATTAATGAAAAAAACTTCCTAGAAAATCCTTTTCAGCCAATTCTTTTCTACTTTCCTTTTTTATTTCTTTTTTATTTCTATTATTTAATTAAAAAAAAAAAATTCCTAGAAAACAAAAAAATTTTAATTAAAAAAAAATCATAGTATGCGTCTTTTAAAAAAAACCAAAAAAAAAACACAAAAAGAAGATGAAGATGATATAGGTGTTGACGATGAAATTAATAGATTCTTAAATGAAACCATTGAAATTGGACAAAAATTAGCTAATGTTAAAATGAACATTAGAAAAATTCAAGAACTTCAAAGACAAATATTATATAACGAATCAACATCAGCAACTAGTAAAGAACGAAAAAAATTCGTATCTAATACAAGAAATTTACTTATAGAATGTAGAGATCAAATTAAAAGAATTCAATATGAAAATGCTCATGTTCCTTCATCGGATCCTAATTTTGGTCCAAGACAACAAAAATATGAATATTTAAGAACAAAATTGTGTAATGTATTAGAAGATTATCGTCAAGTTGAAAGTGATTTTATGAAACGAACCAAAGATTGTATGACAAAACAATATAAAACTTGGAACCCAAAGGCAACTCAACCAGAAATTGATTACTATATATCAAATTCTGATTCTCAACTTATATCCCTGCTCGCTTTATTAAAAATAAATGGAATAAAAGGAGCTAAACAAGTCTTAGCAGAGTTACAAAAACGTAATGAATATATTAAAAATATCGAATATACCGTCGCCGAACTTGCTGCTTTATCGCGAGATTTTCACGAATTTCATGAACAAAATGTACAAGATGTAGGAAATGATTATTGTGTATTATCATAGCATCTGATGACGTATTTATTGATGATGACGTGATTTATTGATGATCCGCAAAGAAATCGGCAACCACTAGGGATAAGATAACAAACATTAAAATATATTATAAAATAAATCCATAATATATCAATTAGGTATCTTTTAGCAAATTTTCAAGAACTTTTTTGAAAATAAAAGACACTTTTTTATATGCTCAAAAGTATCACGATTTTTTATAATATTTTTGTACTAAGCAGATTTGAGCCGCTTAAAAATATTATAAGATTTCATCAATCTATCAGATCTAGAGAGATACCATTCAATTCGTCTCAGTAAGACGAAATCCAATGAGCTGCACTTCATACTTCTACAATCATTAGATGCTGAGTTATAGAAGTGTTATCTCCTCCCAAAATTTATTATTAAATAATACCGATTTCTCACGAATTGGCTCTTAATATATTTAATATTTAAGTAAATTATATTGTTTACATACTTATATTAATCTGTAATCTTCTTAAGGTGTGATAAAGTTTATACTATTGGTTATCAATAAATTTAATATTAAAATTTTTATTAATATAATCTTTTAAAAGGAGTTACCCTTCTAGACTTCCTGATGTTTGCTTCCGAGTCTTTCTTGATTCGATAATTACAGTATACTCGAAGCCAATAATTCAAGAAATATATATATATAAACACTTTACTTTCATGAGATTAATAATATTATTTTTGCGAAGCGTGTAGAAGACATGCGTGCGTCCAAAAGAAATACTATTTATTTGTTTCGTATGACTCTTGAATTGTTTAGAATTGGTGTTTTGAATGAATGTGTAGTAAGTTTTTAACTTTACATCAACTAAAGAATCCGACCAATTGCCGGTTAAAGTAACAAATTGCCCAAACCACAAAGATTTGAGATTTTTAACGCAATTTTGATAATCCTGATGTTTGGAAATTAGATATCCATCAAATCAATCAAACGATGGGTAGGCATTGATGTATGTAACATTGTTTAAATCTGAAGTACTTGTGTGACGGTTAACTATCACCGTATCACGTGATGGAAGCGGTTTGTTTTCATTATGTATGTTGCCGACTTAATTTTTTTAAGTTTGTGAAACAATATTTGTCACCAATTATTCGTCACAGATCGGCGTTAACCAATGCAAATAATACATTTTTTTTCAGTTTACTCGGAAATATCGGAAATATAAATAAATTATGCATCTGTATTACAATAATGCCAATTGCCAAGTGTCTAGCTAATGCCTAGATCTTTTGGGAAAGTTCCGAAATCAACCCTATGCTAACTGCCAAGTAACGCCGAGTAATATAAACGATTTTTAAGATGGTTTAGTTTTAAGTTTTATAAAAATAAGTTCGTTTAGTTTTATTCGTGAAACTAAAATTTCAATATCATGTTATGAAACATTACACGGAAATAGAATGTTCTATAACTAAAAAAAGTTTAGTGAAATGCGTATATATCATTGTTAATCGGAAGTCGTCCCATCTTTAAAGTTACACACAAGTTAATTGATTGAGTGAATAAACGATTTAAAAAAAAAGGGAATTTTCGATAATCTTTTCCCTTATTAGAAGAAAAAAGGTTATTTTTGGAAAATATCAAGGGAGTTTTTTTTTAAGATCGTCCCATGCCGATTTTAGTCGTCATATTTCCTTATATTAATAATTATTGTGACATTTATATATAGGAATGTTTTTATCATTTTCAGCCAATTCTTTTCTAATTTCCTTTTTTTTTTCTTTTTTTTTTTTAAGCTTTCGGAATTGAATGAATTTAATTTTATTATTTAACAAAAAAAAAAATCTCCCTAATAAACAAAAAATTTAGTTAAGTAAATAAAAAAAATTATCTATATATATATATCTTTTTCTTCTTTTTCCCTTAAAAAAAAAACCAAAACAAACCACGAAAAGGAAATAATAAAGTAATAATGTCAGGTATTGACAGTAACATTGGTGGATTCTTAAGTGAGACCACGGAAATCGAACAAAGAATAACCGATGCTAAATCGAATATTACAAGAATTCAAGAATTTCAAGGACAAATATTAAATAGTACTTCAACATCAACATCAAACTCTGCAGCCAGAGAAAGAGAAAACATTATAGCTAATACAAGAAATTTACTTATAGAATGTAAAGATCGTGTTAAAAAAATTCAATATGAAAATGCTCGTGTTCCTTCATCGGACCCAAATTTTGGTATAAGACAGCAAAGATATGAATATTTAAGAACAAAGTTGTCTAATGTATTAGAAGAATATCGTCAAGTTGAAAGTGATTTTATGAAACAAACCAAAGATCGTATGGCAAGACAATATAAAGTTGTGAATCCAAATGCAACTCAACAAGAAATTGATGATTATGTATCAAATTCCGATTCTGAACCAATATTTCAACATGCTATATTAAAAACAAATGAAGCTAAAAATGCCTTAGAGGAGGTACAAAAACGTCATGAAGATATTAAAAATATTGAAAATACCATCGCTGAACTTGCTGCTTTATTTCAAGAATTACACCTTCAAGTTGAAGCTCAAGATCAAACTATTATCAATATTGAACAGAATGCGGAAGCAATTGCTGAAAAAACTGAACAAACGACTCAAGAATTGGGAAAAGCGACTCTTCTTGCAAAAGCTGCAAGGAAGAAGAAATGGATTTGTCTTGTAATTTTTATTTTAATAATTATCATCATCGTAATTGTTATAATAACTCAATTACCTCAAATACGTGGTGATAATTCACAATCTAACAATACTAATAAAACTGTTACTCCCGCTCTTAGCAATAGTCCTTCAAGTCCTTCACTTACCTAAATTAATTTGTAGATTAATTCTTTCAACTTGTGATCAGTGTGTATAGTATATAGGGTCAAACTCTTTCTTTGATTTTAAAATTCATTTACATATATATATATATTTATACATAATTAGAATTCAAGTTAATAAAAGAATTTCTGAATGAAATTTAAAAAAATTATCATGATAATATAGTAATCATTATTTTGAATTTTTAATTATTTACTTAATATTTTTTTTCTTATTTAAAAAAAAAAGATTATGGAATGTGTGTTGATTAATGTACGAACAATTCTTAGGCTTTCTCCTAGGCGCTCTACTTTTTTTTTTTATTAGTTTTGAATAATGTTAATTTATATTTTAATATACAATGTACTGTGCATATATATATTATATATGTATAATTAAATTTTAAATTACTTAAATTACCGATATTTCGATACAGATTCAGATTGATTTTTAATCGAATTTGCCTCAATATTTGTACTGCAGTAAAAAAAAAACGTATTTATTAATGAATTAGCTTCGTGATTTGTTGTCAAAGTCAGTTACATAATCTGACTATATACAATATACTATGTGACAGATAATTGTAAGGCATCACACAAAATTGGCTTCCTCAAAAGTACAAGCATAGCCAAAATCGTCAACATTACAACAAATACAACAAGCCATACCAGAATGATAGAAAGTCCGTAAACGGCAAACCGGCAAACCTAATAATTTATTTTTATAAACTCTCAGCCTAGAATGAAACAAAAAGCTTAGTGCATAATAACGTTTCAATCTATTTAAATGCATGTAATAAAATTTGATGTGAGTCATCTGAGTGAGTCATTTGTATAATCAAAAAAATTTATCATGATCATCTGACATAACACGACAGAATCGATTTTGACACATTATTACACATTATTACACATTATTACACATAATTACATTTAAAAAAAAAATTTTTTTATTTTATTATCTTGCATATAAAAAAATCTTAATACAATTTCATATTACAACCAAGTTCAACAACAATAATTTAATAAATTAATTTAATTAATTTAAGCTTACTTTTAAAAATTTGTACAGTGGATATTAAGAATTTTGCATAAATTATTATTATATTACACGAAAATTATGTGTAATTAAATTAAATAATATAAATTTTCTAAGAAAAAACAGTTTTTCGATTCATCCATTTTTTTTTTCTATGAATAATGAGGTTGTTGGAGTTTACGTTGATATTCTTCTAGTTTAATTTGTTTTACGCCTCTCTTCAATTGTTCTAAGAATACAAATGTCAAACAGAAATGAGGTCCAATTCTCATAAAATGTGTGCCAAAACCTTTGTAGAGAGATTTCAATCCTTCGTTCTCTACGATTGTCTTAATTGTGCGAAAGATCGACTGACGATTTATTGATGAGGTATTATATAAACGCGTCCTCCTGTTACAAAATAGAGCAATAAAATTGTTACAATTTGAAAAAAAAACTTCAATATATATAATGTATATACGTTCAAATACTTACACTACATCCAAAGGGTTCATAAAAACGACACTAACAAACGCACTTATCAAACTACATCCCATATCAAGCGGAACACCTTCTGAATAACCTTCCCGTAGGGCATAATCTCTCAACATTGTATAGGATGATAAGTTTGCCGCACTACCCAAGATGCCACGATATACAGATATCATAGATCCACGATAAAGACCCGGTACACCGCCTTCTTTTGTCATAATTTGACGTAACGCTGAGGACACCGAAACATATCCATACTGATTTCCTACCGCTATAGCGCCAGCAGCTGTACTTTGCAAACGTGTTTTTACGAGCTCGAAGGGGTTTGCAGATACAGCTCCTAAAGCACCACAGATACCACCGGCAAGCATCCGTTTCCAAGCAGGAGCAGAGGATGATGAAGTAGCATCGTTTTTAGGATGAAGGACCGAAAGTATTGGATCATAAAGTCCCTGAAAATGATAATTATATTGTTTAATTTAAATTGTATACCGGATCGAAAAATAAAATGTATTTCTTAAATTTCAAAAAGTTCAACTCACCAAGCGAAATACGTTTTTTGAACTTTCTTTTAAAATCGAAGGAACTAAACCTTTTTCAAGTCCACGAATTCCTTCGTATTTGAAAGTTTTCCACAAGCAATCGAAACTACTTTTATAGACCTGTATAATTTAATAGATCACTAACGTAAATACCATAATTTGCAGATCACGTGACTTTAAGATCGAACGATATTTACCTTTTCAGCAGCAACACGAACTGTTTTTCCAGTAGCATCTTTCATGATTCTGACTTCCCCTTGAAGTTGCATCCTAACTTTTACCGTATCAAAAGGTAAAGTAAAAACAACAGCCATACTAGGAGCCAAAGCACTTAAAGCAAAATTTTCAAGCTGAGATATGTTTGGCTGTGGAGGAAGAGTTTTCAATGGTGGAGCTGATGAAAGTGAATTGGTCTTGTTTTGTGAAGGTTGAGAAGAACGATAATTATTTTTCGAAGGCGGCATCTCGGGTAATTTGTTTGTTATCGGGGTTTTTTGAATGATATGATTAGATATGAGTTATTCCTTCCGAAAGTAAGTTTTTTTTCTCGACTATACATAAAATTGAGAAAGAAATGGGAGGTAAAAAAAATGAGAGGAATAGAATAGACCATGAAAAGAAGATTACTCATTCTTAAATAAAAAAATTTGATGACTTAAACAATTGTAACTAATTTTGTGATCAATAAATTGCGCTTCCGCAAAAATCCGAATGTTGATTGCATAATATTACATAGTGTGGAACTCTGAATAAAAAATGATTTGGAACCAATATCTTTCGACAAATAAAAAAAAAAATCGAAAATAATTTAACTAAAAAAAGAAATATCACGCGGATGCGATATATCTCGAATGTTTATTTTTAAAAACAAGAATATGATCTGATTGACGCCCCTTTACTTTCTTTTGAAAATAAACCTTTTTTTTTCTATAAATGTTACATATAGTACGATGGTTCTTTTTAAAAAATTTTTAACATTCTCTTCAATTATGATCGTTCCTTTTTAATTTACTTAATTTACTAAATATACATGAATAAATGATATCATACATTAATACTTCCCGATAGTTTAAATAATTTCTCCCGAAAAGTTCCGGTCACTCTTATTTTTTTTGTTCATTTGTTATTAATTTTTTTTTCTGCATTTGCGTTTCATAAAGCTTCTTTCAAAATTTTCGGAATAAGTCGGAACCATTAATTACTGTTACTACTTATTTCTTTGGTTGATAAATTTAAATAATGTTCATCTTTTGTTTGCAAAAAATAAAAAAAAATAAAAAAAATAAAACCCTTTTTAAATTTGTATTTTCCGGTAAACATTACGTAATCTATGCGTCATGTGACATTCAAGCCACTTCAAAAGATCATATGTCATATTCAGGTGATTTTGTTAAATATGTTTAGTGGTTTGTTACAATGGCTATGAAATTTACCAAATTGTCAATATTAGGGAAAAAGTATAAAGCCGAGTTATGTAATACATAGGCAATGTCAAATAAAAATGTCTATAGTGTGTCATTTTAATTGACACAAGTTGAGTATACAATTTAGATATCAATATACTATGCAAAGTATAATTAAAAAAAAACGTAAGATATCGCTAAAAACTAAGTTGATAATGCTAAATAATCCACAAAAAAAACTGAAATAACAATTGATATTTGATACTCAGATAATCTAATTGCATCTCTTTTCAATTCCTATCCAAGATAATTTTATTATACTGGCTCTTTAATCTCGATTTAAATCATTTAAAATCCTGAGGATAGCAATGAACAAATTGACAAAATCAAGATAAAGATCAACCGATGCCGTAATATATTCCTCTGGACTCAATCTGTTCATTATGTTGTAAGTGTCATAAATAATAAATCCACAGAATAAAATGGCGGTTCCGATAGCTATAATTAAGTCCATCGTATCACCAAATGGGAAAAAGATTCCAAAAAATCCAATAATAACCACGACCCAAAGAAATCCGAATAAACTAAAGGTTAAGATAAACCGAATATTAACGTATAAATAATAAAATCTAATTTCATGATTTTTTTTCTCTTTTTTAAAAGAAAAAGAAACTTACTAAGGAGCCATTCCGCTAAAATCATATTTAGATTGGAAAGTAAACAAGGTAAGTCCAATAAATATTCCAGTTGTTAAAATCAAAGCTTGTAAAACAATCGATCTATCAAAGAATGTCACTAAACAATTTTAAGAATTATGATGTTAGATCAAATAATGTAATGTTTTGAATAAAAGTGATAAAGTGGTTACAAACCAGTTGCTCCAACTGTGTAACTTTCTACAAGTGTGAATCCAGTCAAAAAAACATAATTAAGTGGATAAGATCGACGTTTCCACGCAAGTAAGAGCAAAAATACGAATGAAGCAAGAATTGCAACATAGAAAGTCCAAATACTTTCAAATATAATACATTTTAGTAGATGATCTATAAAAATTTATAATCATTAAAAATTTAAAATGAACCTACTGATCGTAAAACCAAGATTTAAAATTAACATTATACATCATAACTCCTGCGATTAAAGTGGAAAGCGACAGCTGTGCAAATAATATTGAGTAAACTTTGCGCATAAAGGCTAAATAATTTAAATGTTAAATTTAGTATCAGTGAAAATAATTTATTTATATATATATAAAAGCATATATAATGTATAAAGCTTACCCAGACGGACGTCGACATCATATTCGCTAACGGGAACGTAAACTTTATGCGTGAAATCATCAGGTATTTGATCAAAATCTCGTGGTTCATTATGAGTTGAAGGCCCAGCTGTAGAAACAGGAGAATAGGCAGGCGGTGGCCCAGAAAAACTAGGTGTACCGTAAGACATTGTGTACCTTAATATAGTTTACTGATTAGATTTTGTAATTACAGAGGAAGAGTTGGAATGAAAGCTTGAGAAATTTAAAGATTTTCTTTTATTGGGTTTCCATAATTGGGCATAAATGATGACGAATGATTTGCATAAAATAACGCCAATCTTGACTGATTAGATTTATGTAGTAGTAAAGACCATGAAAGAGTAACAGTATACAAGGATAACAGTGTAAATAAGCACCAAAGATTAAAAAATAATCAATTTTATACAGAATTGCTTCTTGATATACAGTATACTCGGACTGACTATCTTTCATTATTTACTTATTTACCAAAGTTCAAGAAATCACATGACTATTTAAGATTTTATACATATTTACATATATTATTAATCCTTGTATTTAGTCACCTGATTTTTGTAAATGCTGTGCTGTAATAATAATAATATATCGAGGGTTCTTCTGCAAAGAACCAATTTTTCAGATACTCGGAGTGTAAAAACGTAAGTTCCAGAATTTATGCTATAAATTCAAACTTCATCTAGGGAAACAATCCACCATAAATTGCCAGACAGGGCGAACCCTTATTAGACAATTATAGCTTCATCACCAAATGGCTGCGATGTGTTTAATGATATGGCAACCTGTTTAATTCATTTTTAAATGAGCAAACGTGGCCATAAAACTCATTAAAAAGGTAGGCTACAAAGTTCATCTGCAGAACTCAAGTATTATGCTAACTTAATATTGCGATATCAATAATAAATATCATGTAGTTCAAAAATGCAGTTCTCAAGACAAAAGCCCAATGCATAGCATTTTAAAATTTCGAAGGCCCAATGTGGGCGAAATTTTAATAATTTTCTCAGATACATGAAATAAATATAGAAATAAAAAGTAGTAGAGTAGCAAGCAAATATATGGCATACTTCAGGGGAGGAAGTACACAGATCTTAGACCATATAATGCCTATCTAAATATTATATTAATAAATTAGTAAATAAGAATTAATGTATATATAAGCTAACCAATTAACTATTTTATATAACCTTTTGATAACTAAAAGTATCTCAGCAGCTTAAGAACAACTGATTGCAACCATTAATACAGCGAATCAAATGCCACCAACCTGTAATTGTAAAGCCAGTTGAGCAAAGAGACGAATTGGGTACTCATTCGTACACTTTTGAACTCATCATCATGAAATAAGTGTACAATATTAAGCTTGTCCAATTTTTTATTAGATGGATAATGGAGATTTTGGGTTGCATTGTCCCATGTACTATCCAAATTTTGTTCGTAGAGATTTTTTCAGCACTCCTTCAAAGTATTCGTCGAGTTGTTTTTTTTCGTTGCCACGATGCTAATTGGCGACGGCAGCAACATTAACAGAAGAATAATCAACATTTTGCACAAGCTGCTCAAGTTCAGAGGCAGTCAAAATATCCTTCATTGAGAGCCAAGGAGTACTTGCAACTCATTTATCTAGCTTCCCGCCTTCCTCTGATGTGTCTATATCTAGCTCAGCTGCATCTGCGATGCATCATTCATCCTTCAGCATAAGCCTAAGATGCAAGGAAATAAGAAATATATGATTTACTCATTCCCAGATCTAGTTAGCCAAAATCCTGTTAAATTCACCACCAATATTTCTTTGACCATCCACATAAAACATCACTAAACGACCGTTCGTATGCTCTAGACGGACTACACATGCTTGTACAATTTAGGAAGAACGAGTCAGACCATATTTTAAAATTTTTCTCATCAACGTTATCTCTCAGCTGGCAAGAATTCTTTCTCCGGAATCAATTATCGACACAAAACCGAAAAATCCTATGAATGTAAGTCGAAGAAGGTCTATGGTAGATATAACATCAACATCATCCATAGTAAGCGTCTCATCATATTTCTAAACGTACCATAACAAGATAAAAGTTTAACGAGTCTTCTTTCTTTGCCAAGTTTATTAATAACACTGCTCTTTTTATTTGTTAAGTAATCCCTTTTTGTCAGCCTCTTAGCTTTCCAGTTAAATGTTACCACAATCAAATAAATTTCTTTTATAAGTTTATATACTCTGGCCGACTGGAGGACTTTGTGGAAGCACTTTTGTTGATGATCAAGGATCAGCATTAAACAATAATTAATCTATGTTCTTTATTAATCACGTCTTCCTCCATCTCAGAAGAAATCCTTGTGAGCCTCTGTATAATCTAATTATTATAATCAGTTTTTTTACAAAGGCAGGCAAAAGCAGCATGCCTGTTAAATAACAGAATCGTGGTTAGATTTTTTAAATCTCGTATATGTGCACACACATGACAGGATGAGAGTACATATATCTCCAACCAGCTTCATACCCGTTTGTCCATGCGTAAGTATCTTCGATGACCTCCGGATCAACAAAATTTTATACAAACTCTTCACTTGTAATTCGGATTATGATACGGATTCTTGACGTTAAATGGATTTCAGACACAGAATGCTAAGAGGCCAATCGCGACTGCAGACCAGAAAGCAAACATTTCCCTCGTATTTTTAATGCCATGAAGAGTTTCCAGGAACAAGTTCCTATCACTTGCTATATATAATATATTATACTCATCAATGAATAAAACAACATGTTTTCTCAACCTTTTTTCATTTTTCTTAAATGCCAGAAATAAGTCACTAGCAGATCTGAAATAATCAGCTTCGAAATATTGGCGAGCATTGAACGTTAACGTGCTCAAGAGTTTACTGTTCCGTAGAAAAAAAAAGAGAAGAAACAATTAGATCGTTCAATGTGGCAATCAGTTGATTTAAACAAGAATCAGAACCTACCGAATGCAAAATATATTCATCTTCCAATCCACAACAGTGTAGACTCATGCGCCATAAAACGCCACAAATTCACCTTATCCTTATTTTTTTTTTATTTCTTATTTCTTATTTTTTAATTTTTAATTTTTAATTTCCTATTTTTTAATTCTTATTTTTAATTCTTATTTTTTAATTTGTAATTTCTAAAATTTTAATTTCTCTCTCATAATATATTTTTTAATACATACAAGGTAAAATATTTTCACCTTACATTTATATTTTGTTTTCCATAAGATCCTTGGCAGCATAATAGCTCGCTCCTAATCTTTTGCACAAGTTGGTGACTCTTCAACAAAGTAAAACCATATCACGCTCTCTTCTCTAATGGTACCGCTAGTCGTCCATTTTCTTCTCTTTTCTTCTGTGAATATAGAGAAAAATTCGTAAGAAGAATGTATAGTTAAGTATGAAACCAGTCCTATATCATATTTCTTACTTTCTCCCGTGGCTTTTCTTTTCTATTGAGATCTGATGGTTGTAATGACAGAAGCATATTCGATATTTATTAACAAATGTGACATCAGACCAAATCGATATTTTGTTACTGCATATTTCTTGTTCGAGAAGTAAAAAATTGGAAGACACTTACCAGTGGTAGTGACTATGATGATGATATGTACCTGATCATCTGGAGGTTAATAATTAGATTGAAAAATTTTAAAATTCTAGTCTTCTTTTCATTAAGTTTGTCCTCTGTCCTTTTCGGCAGAAGCTCCTTTAAGCTATGCTTTAGTCTTTTAGCTCAACCTTCCAAAGATTAATATTGCTAGAATTATTATTAAGTTCTTTTCTCTTATCTTGGATAAGCGTTTGAAATTCGTGATTGTAAATTTGCTAATTTCAATTTCAACCTTATAATCTTTGAATTTATCGCTTTGAAATATTGTCAAAAGTGTTGCCTAGAAGTAAACAATTTACTAATATGATCGATCATTCCATACATATTTTGTAAGTGGTAAATAAGTTTTAGAATTTAATTTATCAGTACGCAAAAAATAACGCGGTTCTCCAATTTTCAGATTCTCGCGCGCATTTATTTTATGAATTTTAATTTCGGTTGTACAATTGTCCATATTTGACTAATATGGCTTTGTGTGGCACAGATTTAAAGATAAAGCGCATGTATCATAGTTTGAAGTATTGATGAAAAATTATTAGGACATTATTCAATTAAGTTATGAATGTCGTTGAATGGAATATATTTTTTTTTCAGGTTTGATTGTGCATTTACGAGAAATGCTTTTAGAACCTGCAAATCAATACCAATTTATCATTCAGAAGTCCCGAGAAATTTATTAGCAGCATTGGAAGGCAAAAGATAAAATTTTCTTCGGAAGGCTTTTACTAAGGTTAATGTTTTTTTATTTTCGATACTGCATATTATATATTAGTAGAAACGGGAGGTAGACAGGTAGTTGGCAAGAAAAACCGATGTACCTAAGACATTTTGTATCATATTAAATTTACGTTTATTGATTTGATTTTGTAATTACAGAGTCAACAAGAACAAGAATTGGAAATAGTTGAATTTAATGAATTAGGATGGTGATGGATGATACGATAAATAGCGCTAATTGACTTTGAGAAACTATCTCGAAAATATCATGTGCAGAAAGACAATCTTAGAGAATCAAGATTTATGTCAGTATCGCATAAAGAGGTGAACGAGAAAAAGGTCATAGAAGTTTAGAGTAACAATAAAACGCAAAAAGATTGGAGTAAATAGGCACCTTCAAATAATTAAAAATAATTCCTCAATTCTGATTAATTTTATACAGAATGGCTAAAGCTTGAGACATGCTCAGAATAAAATATGGGATTAAGTTTTTAAATTTATTACCAGATTATAATTAAACAAGTTTCTTAGAATGATATTATTGAAAATACTTCCTACTAGAGGCACAGATTTTTGATATTAAAATGTTATTATTAAGACGTAAGGCAAAGATTGTAAGACGTAAGCCAAAAGTTTGCTAAGACGTAAGGTAAAGTTTGCCAAGAAATCCAAAAGTTGCCAAGACTCTAAATATATCTGAGATAAAAAAATTGGTCGATCCATCTAATGATTGTAAGGTAATCTATTGATTTTTTATGATTATTAAGTTACTATTCGTTGGATGGTACAGATTTTGCATATCTCAACAGATGTTTATGTTTTTCGTTAGATAATGAGAGAAATGAAAACTAGAACGGAAAAAAGTTTTTCTAGAACTATAATATATAGTTCTGGTTACATCAAAAATTATTCATTTGTTTTATAGGTTTCTGCTGAATTTTATGCGTCTCTTCATCATATAAGGTCATGATTTTCGTAAATTCCTTTAAAATGAGGGGTCTTATGTATTGTGAATTTGTGTAATAGCACGTATATTATCTTTAATATATGTTTCTCAGAGAGCAATTTATTGATTAGTCAATGATTCAATAATATTGAACATGATCTGATTATCAAACATGTGTCAAACAATGTCAGGATTGCCTATCGCTTCGATCTATATGCAAGTTAAAATATTGTTACCTATTACAGTAATGATTTTAATTCGTTAATTTACAAATTGTAAAGAGATCAAAAATTTTTAATCATATGATACAAAAAAATTTTTTAATTTTTAATTATTTTAATTGGATAATAAATTAAATGAATAATAATGTTATATTATGAACAAATTGGAAAATAATCATATGATACAAAAATAATTTTTCAATTATTCTATGTTATAGTAGGGAGGTAATTACTTGATTTCTCACGTTATCATACTAATTTACATTTAGTAAATATCGAAGATAAATTATTCGGGACCAGCAAGATTAAATAATGAAGTGACAATTGCAAAGAAGATTAACCCAGAGAATATGTAATAAGTTACATATTTGTCTTTAGGATCATAGTGATGTGCCATTGGCAACATACCATGTAAAATTGCATATAATAAACCAGCTGTAACTACTGAAAAAATAACACCTGATACAGCTTCATTCCATATTGTAACGAAAAGAACGTATCCCAAAATGGCCCCTAACATTTGAGAGATAATTCCTACGGTTGACGCAATAAAAAAAGCTTTCCAACGTGATCCGGTTGAATAAAGTATTGGTAGGGAAATGATAAGTCCTTCGGGAATTTTACTAGAAATTTGGGAAAATTATTTCATTAATATTTAAATAACATTAATAATATTTTTTTTTTTTTTATTGAAAAGTATATATTTACTGTAAAGAAAGTGCGATCGCGAAAATAATTCCGATACGTTGATTTCCAAGTGTTGTGGTGAATGACGCCAATCCCTCAGGAAAATTGCTAGATAATTATTGTATTATAACAAAGAAATTACATTAAAAAGATTTTTTTTTTTTTTTCATCAAGTTCAAATATTTATCTTTTAACTTACTGAAGTGCTAGTGCAGTAGCAATTTGAATGCCCAAAGATTTAAATCTTTTAGCTTGTGCTGCGTCCACGAGTCCCGCGTGATTCGCAGCTGAACCATTTTCATTAGTTTTTGTTTCTTCTGATGATGGTGATTCATGACTTTCAGCAGCATCAATATTATCAACCTTAACTTCTTCGATTCCAATTTTCTCAGAAACAAAGTTTTCTTCACTCACATTTCGTTTTTTGTATTTTTTAACAAAATGTTTTACAGTCATAATAAATAATGATGTAAATATGAAAATCGATGTAGCTACTAAGGTTGAGTATTTTTTATCAAAGAGCCGTGAAGCATTGAATGAAGAAGCGGCCTCGGGGAAAAGATCTCCCAATGTAAGTGATAATAAAATTCCGGAAGCAAATGCAAGTGATCCTGCAAGAAAACCTTTGGATTCGGTGATTTTAATGTGAGCGAGAAATGGAATGTAGGGAAACAAGTAGTCGAGAAAAGGTGTAAGAGACCCAAGAGCAGATGCGATAGCCGCCATTGCCGTTAGACCAAAAGCAAGACCTACATTTCCTTCGGCCAAAGTACTTTGTTTTTCATTTGCAAAAACGGATGGGGCTTTAGCAGGAGGACCTGCGTCTTCGTGTTCATCGTCCACACCGCCATGGGCATGAATAAGAGTTATTACAAAAAACGTCAAGATATAAAAAACTAAATTCAATATTTTAATGAAAGACATTTTTAAATCCAAAATAAATAAAATTTAATAAAAAGAAAAAAAAAAAAAGAAAAAAGAAATTAAAAAAATTTATTTTAATAAGTAATATAGTTTTTTATATCGTTGCAGAAAAAAAAAGGACAAAGAAAATGACTTTTTGGGATAATTTATATAGAATGCAGATGAAACATTATATACACGAAAATATATTCCTTTTTATTACAAGTTGATCAAAATTGTCAGTTTTCAGGTTAGTTTATTTTTTTTTTTACATAACGCCAAAATCTAATTAAACTGACTAAAAAGAAAAATGAATTTTTTCATCAAGTAAAGAAAACTTGAATATATTGCCAAGAAATCAAGATATGATTAAACTTAATCTTCTACCGATCGGGCACCTTGGTTTAACAGAAGCCATATCTTATTTATGATAAGGTATTTATGGTTATATTTGAAAGTTACGTTCATTTTGTGTATCACATTAATTTTTTTTCTCGTATTCTCATAATAAAAACAATAATATATATTACAGATTGTAAAACGAAAAATGCACGACAGGTCCCCCTTTTAATTTAAATCCCTATAAACCTATTTTTTAAACAAGTTGCTGAAACTTCTATTAAGAAAAATTATCCATTTAAAGTAAATTTGATAAACAAAATATTTATCAAATAATAATTCTATGTACAAAATTGTCTCGAGTTACATAAATCAAACCTTTTATGGCTGTTGTACTCCCTTCATCTTACGATAATCTGAACTTTATCTTCAATAAAAATTTTACGATGATTGGTACGTTATGGTCCATTAAAAATTCAAATGGAGATAACCCCCCAAAAATTACGTTATAAATGTTCCCACATTTCAAATCTTTTCACCTATAAAGAATTCATTTACTATAATAAGAATTTATTAAAAAAATATGAATACTCCAAAAACTTTTTTCGTTTTCTTTATCTTTTTCTTCGTTTTAATTTCTTCCACATATGCTCATTTTCAATTTGAAAATCCTCCAACTAGAGGACATGGCGAGGACACCATGACACAACCTCCTTGTGGAGGTTATGATAACGTAAATACTAATGCTATAACACCATTTCCCGTTACAGGTGAGTTAGAAAATTCTTAATAGAATGTTATTTCCCACGGCGTCAAAAAAGTCGTTGGTTTAGAAATTTCTTTTTTTGTGAAAAACAACTAAATAAAAGTCACGCCGTCTCGATAATCTTGAATTTAATCTCCTGTCATAAATTACCGTTATTTTTTATATAATATAGAGGGTCAAGTAACGACTGAATTCGAAGATGGTAATGGTGTTATGGTTATCAACTACGCTCCTACTGTCAATGATACTTTCAAGCCTGTTTCAGGTATAATAAATACTTCAATTTCAAAATATTGGATTTCATTTTACTTAAAAGTTAAAAGATTAAACACTAATTAATGTTTTTTTTAACAGAAAATGTCACAATTAATGTTTCCAAACCACAACAAATTGTTACACTAGTTGATCTTTCAAAAGCCGGTGCCAAATCTGGAGATCAAGGAGTGCTTCAAGCTATCTATACAGGAGTGGAAGGGATTTGGTATCAATGTACTGATATTAAGGTTGTAGATGCTAAGAAAACCAGTGGAGCTTCATTTATTATTGGTACCTCTGTAACCGCTTTCTTCACGACTATTTTAGTCTCTTTTTTTATGATGATGTGATTATGACTTTAAATTAATGATTTTCGTGTAATTCTGATTTATCCATATGTAATGTAATAATATATACATAAATAAAAATAAGTATTTAAATTTTAAAAAAGTGAGGTTATATCGATTTTCGAAAATCGGATAGTATAGTACAATGCATATTTAGACTAGTTTCACAATCCCTGTTGATCAAAAAAACTTTAGCGGATTCGATAAAAATCAATAGTAAATGCACTTCAAACTCATCGTAAATTCATCTAACTTTAATTTTACGAATACTAAATAAAAGTTATACGTTCTTTGATGCTGTTATAGACAATTTAGTAATATACAGTACTATAACTTTAGCATATAAACATTGTATAGCATGTGATAAATCACGTTAATAAAACTCTTTAATATAGCGCGAACAGGGACGATGATTTATGGCATTTCGCAATAAATCACAAAAGTCACAAAATTTTGTGATAAATACAGTACATTAACCACTATATAATTTGAAAAAAGTGTTCCCGAAAAATCACGTGACATTTTCATCTCTACTTGGCTTTTTTACCATTTCGTGCTATTTTTTTTTCAGGTTACGTTGGAATAGTCATAAATCTTCGGGCTGCGGCATTTACTGCTCAGTACTGCAGTAATGGGACAAATTTCACATAGGTTCACAACAAAATACAAAATTAGCTTAAATCACACAAAATTTACTTTATACCGTCGGGGCGCGAAACGGTACGTCACGTGATTTTATATACAGTTCACCCTCTCTATAGCGAATTTTTATATAGTGAATAACTTGCTATAATGCTATAATGAAGAAAAAATTCAGGTACAGATTTTTTTTATGTATAATAAATGACCCTCAGTATAAGTGAATTTCTCACTATAACGAATTTTAATCTCCAGTCCATACTCCATGGGGACTCATTATAGTGAGGGTGAACTGTATTGTGATTTGTGATGACAACACTAATGTGATAAGATATTATATTTATATAATAGAAACAAATTTCTTTTTAACTAGTATTAGCAAATTTTTTTTTTTAGACCGGTTTAAGCGTTATTAGAATGCTATGGAATATTGAGAATTTTTGCAATTGTTTACAAAATGACGCAAGAATGATCAAGACACTAAAAGTGATTATTTTTGTTCCTTGTTAGATTGGATTAAAATATTGCTTAGAACTATCATTCTATAGTTCTATGCTATCTCATTAAATTTCTTTCTTTCTAATTTAATATTAATAACATGATGCGTTATCGACTTTTATGGTGCTAAAAACTCTTGCAGTAATTTATAAAAAGGTAGAAATTACGTGGTGATTTCACAATGAATCAAAATTTTGTGATAAATACAAAATTTTACATTAATCACCACATAATTTTGCCAAATTTGATCCTTTAGTCAGTTTCGGAGGAGAACTGAGCCATTCCATAGAGGAAACCTTTGCTGAAAATAAACTTTGATCCTATGTCGAAAGAAGGTACCCAGGCATATTGGGACTGGTGTGAACGACACCGATGGGATAATAAGCCTTGAATCAAAAAGTCTCGAGAGAAAATAATCAAAGAGCTATTTGACAATGCACATAATTCCACACAAAAGATCTATTTGACAATGCACATAATTCCACACAAATTTCACACAATATCCACACAATTACATCCAATTTCCACATAATTTCCACACAATCTGCGGGCTGCGGCATTTACTAATTAGTAACGGGAGAAATTATTCTGGTACAGTTTATAGTCTGTTCCAAGTTATCACATAATATAAAATTTTATGAAAAGCGCCACATCTCAAAATTTACGAAAAATAAGTTCACGACGACACAAAATTAGATTAAATTGCACACACAAATTATTTTATACCGCCACAAAAAAATCATGAATTGATCACGTGATTTCCGGAGGTTTGATTAATAACTGAGCACACTTGGAATGGGGATTTATCTTTTATTATAGTTTATATTCTTTCTTATCTGTTATTAAAAGTATTCCTTAGAATGCTTTTTTTTTTAAAAAAAGAAAATATTAATATTAAAGCGCATATCTATCGCTCTATTATTAATGAATGTTAGCCATTATATAACATATTATCAGAGATTCTACTTTGATAAATTCCTTTCATACTCTTTTGAATTGAATAAAAGTCAGGTTAATTACTAACCAATAGTAATTAACACCTTTTCGTCAACTTATATTCGTTTTACGATTCGATGAAATGATTATAAATTGGCGAAAATCTAAATCACGATTCGATGAAACGATTATAAATTGACGAAAATTTTAAATCATGATTCATCTATCATATTTTAAAATTAAAATAATTCACTTATAGTTGTACAAACAAAAGAGTTTGTAATTGTCTATTTTTTATTATAATTTTTTTCTAATATTATTTACAAGACAGATTAAATAAATTTTTTGGTTAAATTGATCATTGGTACTAAACATCGTTTTATATTAATCATTAACTTTCTAAAGTAATAAATGTTTAATGAAATGTTTGGAAATTTTCAAAAATATAAAAAATATTTGAATGGTTTGTTTAATGAGTTTAAATAGAAAAGGAAGAAAAGTTGCACTTTCATGGATAAATAAATAAATAAAAAAGAATCACTTAAATTTTAGTTATAATTAATGCTGGATCAATCTATCTTTTATTCTCTTTATGAAAACTTTTTACTTTAATTTGAAATTCTAAAAGTAATTCAATTCCAATGATTTTATTTATATACATGTTATAAACTAAATGTCTTAAAAAATCTATGCTATTAACATGAATAATGCACTAATCATACCAATAATTAAACTCAAACCAATTCCTATAAAACCTCTATTAATTTGTCCGTTAGATCCTTCATCTGTGAGTGATTCAACAGGTACACTTGTGACAACTTTTTGGACTACAACTGTTTTTGATGGTGGAACGTTAACTTCTACAACAGTAGCGACACCATTTATCGTTGTGGGGACCATTGTCTTAAAGCCTGGTACATCCGAAGTCGAAGAAACTAAAGTTGTGAAAGTACTGAATTTTTGGGCAGGACCTTTCGTAGGCGGAGGATTGGCTGGTGGTGCTGCTTTTGGAAATGGTGTAATGGCAGGTTGACTAAAAAAAAAAATGATAAAATAAAAATTAATCATTTATATTCTCTTGGTCCTCTTTCTCCGGGTCCACAAAGACTAGGCTTTTTAAAAGAAAATATAATTGAGCTTAAAACTTACGGAGTATCATCTTTAGGAGTCTTGGGGGGAGCTTTAGGAGTTTTAGGAGGATTAGGATTAGGTGGATTAGGTGGATTAGAAGTATCAGGAGTATCAGGAGGATTGGAAGTTTCAGGAGTATCAGGAGTATTAGGAGTAGTATTAGGAGGGATATTAGGAAGGGTATCATTAGAAGGAGTTTTAGAAGGAGGAGGAGGAGGAACGGCTTTAGGATCTTGAGTCTTACCGTCAGGATTTGTGCCAGGATTTTTGGATTGAGGAGTTTTATTATCAGCTGGGGGGAAAGCTGATTCTGGGGGAGGATTAGCTGGATTAGCTGGGTTAGCTGGATTAGCTGGGTTAGCTGGGTTAGCTGGGTTGACTGGATTAGCTGGATCGGCTGGAGGAGGAACTACGGTTTTACCATCTTTAGGAATGTCAGGAGTTTTACCATCGTTGATTTTAGGTATATTACCATCGGCGGGATTAGTAGGATTCTTGGCATCTCCTGGAATTTTGGGTGGTAATTTAGTTTTATTATCATTATTTGATTTAGGTACAGGGACGAGAATTTTGGGGTTTAATTTTGGGGAATCAGGAGTTTTATTATCATTATTTTTATTATCAGGTGATTTTGTATCTTTAGGTGAGGTGGGGTTTTTTGAATCAACAGGGGTTTTAGGGGTTTTAGGAACTTTTGTTTTACCTGGTTGTGGATCTTTAATTGGATTATTAGCTTCAGGAGCTTTTACATCTTTTGCAACGTCTTTTGGAGCGTCCTTTGGAGCATCCTTAGGAGCATCCTTAGGAGCATCCTTTGGGGCATCCTTTGGGGCATCCTTTGGGGCACCCTCCTTTGGTGCAGCATCCTTTGGAGCATCCTTTGGAGCATCCTTTGGTGCGTCCTTTGGAGCATCTTTTGGAGCATCTTTTGGTGCGTCCTTTGGAACATCTTTTGGTGCATCTTTTGGTGCAGCATTTTTAGCATCTTTTGGAGCATCTTTTGGAGCATCTTTTGGAGCATCTTTTGGAGCGTCTTTTGGTGCATCTTTTGGTGCATCTTGACGTTTATATAATGTAATCTTATTTCCACTAGTAGGAGATGCAAAACTTGAAGATATCACAAATATAACAATAAAAAGACTGAGTAAAATTAGGATGGTTTTCCTTGACATTTTATATCGAGCCATTTTTTTATATGTATATAAAGATGGACCAAAAGACTTTATATATATCTTTTTAAAAGAAAGAAAGAAAGAAAGAAAGAAAGGAACTTTCCCCCCGAAATTTGGTGATTATTTGATTTTAACGAAAAGGAATGTATAAAGTATAAAAAAGAATGTGAAAATGTAAAGAATATGAAATTTGCGCCGCTAAAAAAAAAGAATGTTGATTGATTGAATTCCTTTTTTTGGAATTGTTCCAATATGTACCAGACGATAAAAAAAACAATTTTCAAAAAAAAAAAAATTCAATACTTCCTTCTCGAATATTTATAATTTTTTTTAAACCTACAGAGGAACATAAGTGTAGTTTATGTGGTGTATATATAATAAATTTCGGACATTTCAGTAATATAAAGTTGACAAATAGTCTTAAATGGTAATTTAGTTGATGCATGTTTCTAAATCAAGAAAAAGGATGAAAAACTAAAAATAATATCCTATGTAAATTGGTAGAACAAAGAAAAGCGATCCCGGCTTTTTTTTAATGAGTACAGTAAGGAAATTTATGAGTACAGTAAGGAAATTTTATGAGTACAGTAAGGAAATTTTTGAGTACAAGTAAGAATTGATTCGTTTTTATTATTTTATTATTTGTTTTAAAGAAAAATATTAGAATTTCAAAATGAGTGAACAATGAAAAAAAATATGTAAATGAATAATTTAATATGAATTTAACCGAATGTATTATTTTTAAAAATGATTTTATTCGTATCTTATATATTATTTGTTTGAATATTATTATACTTTAAGTAGTAATAACCGATAAAAAATAATTTCATGATAATATTTCCGGTCAAATTCCGAAAATTAAACATTCTATTATTGGATATAATTCTTTTAAAAATATAAAAATATAACCTTTTATGCATAATTTGAAATGAAATGCATTTTAATATCAAAAATATTTGGTATTTTAAATAATAATAATAATGTTTCAAGTTTTTTTTTTTTTTATAATTTATTATTATTTGCTATGTTTCTGATTATTTGCCAAGGTTGACCTGTGGCGTTTCAATTCCATCCAATAATACAAGTTTGGGTATGAATAATAATAATAGCAATACATAAGGTATTCTATTTTTGTTACACAAACATATATTGCACAATTATATATATACAATCATATATTACAATCATATTACAATCATTAGGAATGTACCAGTCGCCGTCGCAGATCCTCTATTACTCACATGATTCATCGTTACATTTAAAATAGTTCAATTCTACTTGTACTAAATTGGAAACATGAGAAAAAAAAGTGCATACAAAGTATACTATGTAATTAAACCATTTTAATATCCTTTGCATAAAAGTCTCGTTCGAAAAAGTGTTTGTTTTAATATATAATTATCTGCAGATGATGATTGTATCAGGTTTTTTATTGAAATATTGTTTGTTTGGTTAATTTCGTTTCTCGTGAATTTTATTGTTACAAAAATTAATTATTATTTACTAATCAATTTTGTCAATTTTTTTTTTTACCCGGCTTAGTCCGTTAAAAAACTTTGTCAATCTGTTGATCATATTATTTTTTGAGACCGGGTACAAAATCCCATTTAAGGGTCTTTGACAACCTTTTTTTGATCGGAGACATGATGACGCTCTTTGAATACATTATATATATATATATATATGTATGTATGTATGTATCATATGTATGTAATTTGCCTCAACTTAGTAATGAAATTTCCATGGAAGTATTTAACTTGGGTAACGAAATTTCCATGGAAGTTTGAAAAAAAAGCACAAAAAGAATAAAAAAAAAAGAATATGTATAATAATTGGTTACACGCATACTTACCGGATTCGGATAAACGTATTTTCATCGAATAAAAAAAATTTTCATCATTTTCTTATGATTTTCCGAGTGATTGAGTAATTATGAATTTATGATTATGTGTTTGTTCATGATATATATATATTACCCTTTACCTTTTAACCTCATTTATTTAAGCATATTTGTTAACTTATTAAAAACGGGTTGTAAAAATTTGTACCCATGGTCTGAAATAAATTCTTCTAGAAACGGAAACGGTAACTATAATTACAAACACAAATCAAAATGGCGTGATGATGATTGGATTTTTTCAATCATCATCAGTTTATCGTATTAATATTAGTATCGTACGGTTTTTTTAATAGATTGACGAACTATGCATCAAACCTTTTTTATGTTAAAAATCCAATCAATTGGTTGAAGAGATTACAAGGGTATGTAGGATAAGCAATTAAAATACCCTTGAAATAAGAATTTTTTTTTTTTTCATATGATAACCAAAGTTCAGGGTCCATTCCTGGGGAACTCGATTTTATGGAAATGGTAAAAATAAAAAGCAATCTACACTTGATTACTTGATTATCATTATTACACAATTATATTTCCTAGATCAAGATCCTTTTTTTTCTTTTTTTTGCTTTTTCTTTTTCTTTCTTTTTTTTTGGCACGAAAAAAAATAATTTTTTTTTCTTTTCATCATCAAAGTTAGATTTTATGAAATTATTAAGGGAAATAAGGGAACATTTACTAATAATAATAATAATTACAAACAATTGTAATAATAAAATGTCGGAACATTGCCCACTAAACGTTTATTACGCCAGAGATTGACGTTTCAATTGTGAAACTTTAGTAACGGACACCCCGCATAAACCTAAAATTTTTTGGTTTCATTTGAATTTTTTCGGTTAATTGCATAAAACAAAATCTAGGGGTTATGAATTCAAACATTATTAAATATCATATTTAGCTTAGTGTTATCATTTTTACCTTATGACATCTGTATAAAACACGTGAAGATTCTAAAGTTATCACCGTGTGACAGAATCGAATTGATAGAGACACCGCGCCAATAAAGAATTCAAAAAAAAAAAAAAATTAATAATAAGGATACCTTTTTTTTTTTTTTTTTTTTTCAGCTTAATAATAACGTAAGTTATATTATCCTCCCTTTTAAATATACCCCACATTTGACGTCACAAACATAAATCGTAATAGTGATTAAACAACGAAAAAAAAAAATAAAATTAGAATATGATTTGTAACCAGTACATAATCATTTCTTAAAACGAATAAAAAAAAAACGAATAAAAGAAGGAATGTGAGGAAGTGGGATTCTCGTTATGGATCGGAACCGAAAGTTGAATAATCTATTAAAAGAATTTCAGATTAAATATTAACAGCATAAAGCAACTGTCAGCTCACACACAAAAAAAAGAAAAAGATAAAACTTACAATTGATGAGGGAAAAGAAAGAAACCCACAACTTTGGTGATATTTTCCACAAACGTATGGAATTAAATCAGATCATAAAAATGAAGAGAAATATATTTTTTTTTTTCCGGACAAGCAGCATAATTTGTATTATTTTTTTTGTGTTAACCAAATTAAGTTATTGCATCTAATCCAATTAAGCCAAAAAGTCGAATGAAGTAAAACAGTTTACTACATGAACGTGGCAGATTAACGCGTCCGATTTTGTAAAATTTGTAAAATTTGATTTGATTAAAGTAAATTAAAATTGTCAAAATTTTGAAGATTTTCCAAATTTGTAATTTTCATAAGAAAACTGATTATAATTCGATTATGTAATATAACATAATCATAATGCTTGGAATCACTACAATGGCTGTAAACATTTTTGTGATCACACCACATCGTCACTTCATTTATAGACGTTAATTAATTTACATTTAAGGATATTAATTTATCTTGTGATATATTTTGCTATTAATTGTTGGATCTCTTCAAAATAAAGTTTGTTACCTATCAATAAATGAAATGTATTACAATAATTATTCAACTTATCACCTTATTTTCTTTTGACCCGCATATAGGCGATTTTTTTCTTCAATTTCCTTACGTTATCTCTTTATAAGCAATAAATTTGTTATCTTTAAACTAAACTATTTTTGGTTCGTTTATATTTTGATTACTTTAAAGAATTTTTATTTTTTTTTTTATTTATTTTTTTTTTCAAAAAAAAAAGGAAAAAATAGTACAAAATGAAAAACTAAATATATCGTAATTGATATGCGTGATATGCGTGAAAAAGTAATTAGTCTTGTCTTGTGAACAAATAGCATNATTTTTTTTTTTTCATATGATAACCAAAGTTCAGGGTCCATTCCTGGGGAACTCGATTTTATGGAAATGGTAAAAATAAAAAGCAATCTACACTTGATTACTTGATTATCATTATTACACAATTATATTTCCTAGATCAAGATCCTTTTTTTTCTTTTTTTTGCTTTTTCTTTTTCTTTCTTTTTTTTTGGCACGAAAAAAAATAATTTTTTTTTCTTTTCATCATCAAAGTTAGATTTTATGAAATTATTAAGGGAAATAAGGGAACATTTACTAATAATAATAATAATTACAAACAATTGTAATAATAAAATGTCGGAACATTGCCCACTAAACGTTTATTACGCCAGAGATTGACGTTTCAATTGTGAAACTTTAGTAACGGACACCCCGCATAAACCTAAAATTTTTTGGTTTCATTTGAATTTTTTCGGTTAATTGCATAAAACAAAATCTAGGGGTTATGAATTCAAACATTATTAAATATCATATTTAGCTTAGTGTTATCATTTTTACCTTATGACATCTGTATAAAACACGTGAAGATTCTAAAGTTATCACCGTGTGACAGAATCGAATTGATAGAGACACCGCGCCAATAAAGAATTCAAAAAAAAAAAAAAATTAATAATAAGGATACCTTTTTTTTTTTTTTTTTTTTTCAGCTTAATAATAACGTAAGTTATATTATCCTCCCTTTTAAATATACCCCACATTTGACGTCACAAACATAAATCGTAATAGTGATTAAACAACGAAAAAAAAAAATAAAATTAGAATATGATTTGTAACCAGTACATAATCATTTCTTAAAACGAATAAAAAAAAAACGAATAAAAGAAGGAATGTGAGGAAGTGGGATTCTCGTTATGGATCGGAA